ACTCCTTGTCCTGTCCCTGCAGCTCCTAACACAGATCTCTCTGCAGCTTCCCTGGAGCCCCTTCAGCTCCTGGAAGGTGCTCTGAGCTCTCCACACAACCTTCTCTTCTCCAGGCTCTGTTTTTCCTTCAGCTGATCATGCATTAGCCATGACAGGACAATGCCCTTGGGACACTGAGGATTTGTATTTATTGTTTCAAATGGGAGACAAAACTCTGCAAAACTCATTACTGGCAGTGTTAAAAGTCTGAAGTGGAAGACAAATGAATCCTACCTGGCCACAGGTTTTAGGTAGAATCTAAATATAAGAAATCAGAGTCTTGTACACGATCTCTCCAGACCTTACACACTTGTGGTGCTTAGCTGAGTCCTTGTTTGGTCAGAACAATACAGATATAGAATAATCAAGGTTGGAGGAGACCTCTAAGATCATTGAGTCCAACCATTAACCTGTCACTGTTGGAATCCCTAAACCATATCCTCCAGTGTCAGGTCCTGATACCTCTTAAACACCTCCAGGGATGGTGACTCCACCACCTCCCTGGGCAATATTCCAGTGCCTTACCTCATATGGCCTGACAGAGTAAGATTGGACCAAGGCTGCTAAGAGCTAAGGGCAAAGACTTTGAACCAGCTTTGTTCCCCCTTTCAGTGTTTTCTCAGCACTTGTCCAATAGCACTTCTAGAGCAGCCCAGAAAGGTTTTGCTTGTTCACAGTGACCTGTAAACTTCAATCTCACACTTGGATCCCATCTGCTCTGGCTTTGGCAGGATGTGTGACACAGGAGAAGGACTATTCATCTTTCAGACCAGAGATGGGGAAGCAATCTATCAGAAGGTTCACTCAGCTGCTTTGGCCATAGCAGAACAACACGAGCGTTTGCTGCAGAGTGTGAAGAATTCCATGGTATGGCTGTGGCTTGGGCTTGATGTCCTACACTGGGCATCAGCCAACAAGGTTTTTTTCTTTGTCATTGTAACTTTCGATTCCCAGATTCTGATTATTGTTTTTATTAAGTTCTACCTGATCATTAAATTTAGGGTAATATAGAACTAGAATTCCTTTACAGGAATCAAAACAACAGGGAAACTTACAGTTCTTTGTGTCTGCAAAGGTCTCAATAAGTGGGAATCAATACAGAGATGATAAGCTCCTGTCAGTGCACATTCTCATTAGTTTCCTTTAATTAATCAGCCTCCTGAGTTTGTTTGGATTCTTTGCGAAATGTTATGGCTCATGCTCAGTTTTCCATTTGCTAATTGATGTCTTCACTCTGAGGATGATTTGGGCAGAGTCAGATGGTTGAGATTACACAATGGGGGAGGACTGAATAGTTGTCTGATCTGTTTTCCACAAGTGCTTTCTGTATCTCAAACTTATTTTATGACACACATGACTGGGAGGAGAGATAGAAGTGTAAGATGCAAAACCAACACACAGATTGAGAAAGGATAGTGTGGGATCTCCAAAGGTGTTATGTGTGAGGAAAACAGTTTATGGCACTTCATCTCATGTGTTTCAGGATCTTAATAACTTTGAATTGAATTATTTTTTTTGCTCCTGAAGTCTACAGAGTGAGAAGGAATGTTCTGTCTATCCATTTCACAACTGGTCTCTGCACTCCAGGACTCACAGGGAGCAAAATGAGGGATATTTTAGCAAAATAAGTGATAAATTAAAGCTGACAAACTTTCTGGAATGGATAAAATGCCCAGAATGGCCAACTGTGGAAGGACTTGGCTATAAACATCTCTATTCCAAGCAGTAGTAATTGGTTTATGTAATCTGCAATAAGACTTACTCCTTTCTCTTGTTGTAAACATAAGCACTGCTGTTATCCACATCCATGGCTAATCCTTTCAGTAATTCTACTAACATCTTGGTTTCAGGGATAAGTTGTAGGAATGAATTATTCCAGTGTTAACTGGATGAACCAGAAAATGCCATTACTGCTTGGGGAAACTTAAGAAAAGATGAGAGTGGAAGTTGAGGGGATGAAGAAGGGAACAAATTGGCTTAAGTACTTGTAGTTGTTTTGTTCTTCCACTTTCCTGGACTTGAGACAGAGCAGAAGCCAAATACATCTAGGAAAGCTATTTCTTTTAATAGTAGTATGATAAGGAGAGGAGAAGTAATAGGAAACTCTTGAGAATCCTGTCCAGTCTTGTGGTCTAGATAACTGTTTGCTGCAGTCAAACACATAGGCAAATGGGTAGTTCTGTCATTTCATAGTATCATAGCATGTTAAGGGGTTGGGATGGAGCTTACAGATCATCCAGCCCCAATCCCTGCCCTGGGCAGGGACACCTCCCACCAGAGCAGGTTGCTCAAGGCTCATCCAACCTTTGAACACTGCCAGGGTTGGGGCAGCCACAGCCTCCCTGGGCAACCTGGGCCAGTGTCTCACCACCCTCACAGGGAAAACCTCTTCCTAAGGTCTAATCTAAATTTCCCCTCTTTCAGTTTATCCCCCTTGCCCCTTGTCCTATCACTGGAGTTCCTAACAAAGTCCCTCTGCAGCTTCTTGCAGGGCAGGTAGGACAACTGAAATGGGAAAGTGAGGGAAATCTAAGTCTCTTTGCATGTGGATCATGCAATGTGTTTACTTTTAACTGGAAAGGGACTAATCAGTGGGTTTTATATACATCGTATGATATATCAGTGTCCAGTTGCTGCTACTCTTTTGACTTGGAGCACTACAATGTGCTCACCTGTGGGAGAGTGCTGTGCCTGCAAGGATGGAGTGGTGACTTGGAGCCTTTCTCAACCTCAGCCCTGTGTCCATTTAAACCACATACTTTTCCCAGTACTTCCAGGCTCACTGGGAAGAGCTTGACACTTTGCTTGATTCCTTTCAGAACCATTAGAGCTAGCAGGTGAGCTCTGCACTCAGCAGCACTGGTAATTTTCCATTTCCCAGTCAAGTATCATCTAACACCATCTTTGCTGGGTTTGGCTTTTGTTTAAACCCAAGAACCTTTTAGTTCTAGTTATTGAAGGCAGTTCTTGTTCAAAAATATCTGAAGTTGAGACAGATGGGGAGATGATACAAGCACTTGACAGTGACTAAATTAAGCAGATTAAAATTAACCTAGGCTGGGTCAGCATAACTAACATTTGTAGCCCACCAGTATGAGAAGTGGTGGAGTAACCTGTTGAGAGCACAACTTGAAAAAGAGGTATCAGTTCTGAGATGAGTGAATAGCTTTGCAGGCAGTTTCATGTTTGTTGGCTTTGCCTTTATGGAATAACATCTTTAATAGGTAATGTCTGATGCTGCGCTGTAAAATTTCCATCTTCCAAGTGCCAATAGACTCCACAGATGCACAGTTGCTATAGATTTCACTAGACAGCAGCTGCACAACCTCTAAAAGCTTTTTCATGAACACTGTGTCCAACCACAGCCTTTAAATCTCATTTTATAGACCCTTGGGTGCTAAGTTAGGGGCTAACAACATATTCCTGATGAACTGGAAGTCTTGTAATTTAGTAGCAGAAGATAATTGCTTCAGATGAGTCCATATGCCCCTGAATGTGAGTTTCCCAAGCCTGTCATAGAAAGGTTGTCTGGTTCTGAAACTCCCAGTAAGGCTCAGTGGCTTCTCTGGGGTTCAAGGATAGGCAGAGGACTGTGATATCAGTGTAGAACTCAGGTGGCTTATTCTGCTGTCTACAAAACATTTGTAAAGTACCTCTTTGTTCAGATTGATTGATTTTTTTCCCCTGTATTTTCCTTCTGCCTTTGAGCAGCTGGCCAGGAGTTCATTTCAGACACTTGCACTCAATCCTCAGCTGTCTGTAATGTTTCTGTCTCCAAGAATTACTTACCCTGCGTGAATTTTTGTGTTAGCGAAGCTTGAGCTGTTATTTACACAAAGAGTAAGGAAAAGATGAAAGTAGGAGATGTGACAGTGAGAAATGAAGGCTGTCCTGAGTGTCTTCTCTTTGCTCTTGCAATCCTGACCACTGCCACATCCATGGTGTCATTATCCCAGGCTGAGGGAAAGGTTTTATTATGCTACCTGAGAGCTCCTGCAGCCTGTGCAAGGGAAAGGAGGAAAGAGAGTTGACTATCCCATGCTGATAGAGTGAAATGAAGCTGCCAAGTGCTGCTGAGAACGTGGGCTAGGATGTGTCTGTCACCTCCCTGGCAGTCACTCCCTGCTTTGCAGTGTGTTGGTTCAGTGTGTGACTGGAGTTGGCTCTGGCTCCTGAATGCCTGTGGGAAAGGGATGCACTCAGAGTTCCTCAGCTGGAATCTCTCCCTGGGACTTGTTGCTAATGTTCTGCTGCTTTCTGCCCAGGTCCGAGCACATGCTGACCAGGCTGTGACACCTCCACAAGTGGAGTTCACTTATTTT